ACATGATTTTGCTATGAAAAAATTAACACACAAGCTTGACAAAAGAATGTGCCAGTTCATTAAATAAAATTGTTTTAAAGGTGTACATTAGTGGTACTTCATTTTGGACATGGTAATGTTAGATATCAAATAAGTACCAACATATTTTTTAACACGACGTGTAGCGTTGAACACTATCCTTGTCCGGAACGGAAAGTCTAATTATATAGTATGCGGTATGTAAAGTACAAAGAATTCTAATTTAAAATAAGAAACAATGCAAACTGCAACAACATTCACTTCTAATCCCCAAATTATGTATTTCTTTCTAAAAGCAAAATATCAATTTTTAGAATTGTCTTAATGGATTGAATACTAGACCAATAATTTATAAATGTAGATCACTTGAAACTGACAATGAATAATCTATTTATGATTAAAAACTAATTTGCACGAACTACATTAGTGCCACGCTCGACCGGTCCCAATTGAGAAAACTTCTGTGTTAAAGAAGTTTTAAAGAAGGCTGCTTGACAAATTGATAAAAATACTATGACAAAATATTGATAATAATTTAGAAAACTCCAGTGTGAGTAGGTCTGAGCATCAATCCAAGACCGGACCAGACCATATCGGAACCGGAATTCTTAAAAAAGTGGACCGAAAACTAGACTTATATAATTCCGGTCCATGACCAGACCAGATTTTTCTTGTTTTTCCGGTCCGGACCGGCCGATATTGGACCGGATTTTTATTTGATTATTTTTACAATGTTTCATCTTTAAAAAAATAATTTTGATTGTCCAAAAATGTACATATTAGCTCGATGTTTTTATCATTATTACTACGTATATTATTATTATTATTATTATTATTATTATTTTATGATGTTTTATATGTCATCCTTTCTAATTTACTCTTTTATACATATGATTTGCATTTTTATGTCTCTTTCAATCAATTTAATATACATTATATAATACATCAAATAAGTAGAATAACCATGTGAAGTATGCCTAGTGGAAATACGAAAAATATGTAATTATATTTTTACTCTATAGAATTTTATGTAAATTTTGATGTATTAAATAGAAAATAAGATATGATTTTTTAATGTGTATTTGAAAAAATACAAGTGTAATACAAAGTATAAACATATTTTGCACTATTATACTACTAGAGGAAACACAAGATTGAGGGCCCAAAAAATTTACAAGACAATAATTTCGAAAAGGGAGAATCTACATACAGCTTCCAAATTACTATTCACATCTCCCAAATTAAATATTATAACAATCAAAGTAAGTTAACTTCCTAAATTACTCGTAGCTGTTTGATGCGACCAAAGGCAACGACGTGACGAAAGTTAGGATATTTTTACTTCGATTGAAATTTTCCGGTCTGATCTGAACTGGTTTGGTAAACGTCTGTTCTCTGTGTATTTTATAACCATCTAAGTCTAGTTTGTTCTGCTCTGGTCCGGTCTGATTTGATCTGATCTGGTTAGATCTGGGACTAAAAACCGTCCAAGTAAAAACATCACTGGTCGTGGACGTTGCTGCAACCTGGTAAGGTACAAGGACGGCTACAAACTCTAGCATCATCTTCATCATCAATGGAATTTGTCTGTGATTTATGAGAACAAGTTAGATTCTTTGGCTTCACGGGAGGAAGGAACACCATTACCGTAACTACAACTAATGAAGAAGGGCTAGTAGTCCTCTTCAAAGAAGTTACACTTTTTTGAAGAATGAATGTTTGTTTCTCTGATAGGCCAGAAGGGATAGTGTTTCCGGTGTGGCGTACAGTGGCGGATGTCTTCTATGCGAAGGTGTTCTTGTAAACACTCAAAAATATAAAATCAATGGGAATATATATGCATGCATGAATTAAAGTAATATACTACGTATCATTTATTACTTATTAGTATTGTAAGGAGAAAATGTATAATTTTGAACACCCAAAATATGAAGACTAGATTCGCCACTGGGGGCGTAGGGCGGTTGTGAAAGTTGTGATGGAACCGGCAGGAGGGAAATAGGTTGGACAGTCGGCAAGCAGTGGTTTTCGGGAGCCATTGAGATGGCAGAGCAGGTGCCGAAACAGGTGACTTCTTGGTCTGGGAAATAAGATTAGAATAGGGAAAATCATTTTCGAGACATTAAAGTATTAAACATCTCGGCTAATATAAACCCGCCCAGAGATAGGATCTAAACACTGGTAACCTTTATACCCCGGAGCATAACCAAGAAAGACACAATGAATAGAGCGAGGTGAGAGTTTATTAGAAAACTTGGCAATAAAATTAGGAAAACACGCACAACCAAAAACACGAAGAAAATTAAAAACAGGAATTTTATTAAAAGGTTTTTCAAAAGGAGTGAGATGTGTGAATTGTGCAAAGATTATGTATATTAGTAGAAAATTGTGGTCAAAGTGAGATATGTGAGTAGTGCAAAGATCACAATGTTGCAACAATTAAAGAACGGATGAAGTATAACTATTTATACATTCGTATATACTCCTTCTGTCTCATTTTATAAGATACATTTACTATTCACTTGGTCAACACAAATCACTCTTAATCTCTTACTTTATACATCAAAAATTTATGAAATTTGAATTATTTTTTGCAGGTTTTGTAGCGGGTTTAATGTAGTTTCTGAATATGTAATTTTTTTTTTCTAAAAATAATTTGAGTGCAGACAGGGAGCCGTTTGCTTTATCGTCAGTCAAACATCGTAAACCAAAAAGTATCTTATAATTTGGGACGGAGGGAGTAATATTAGATTATATCGAACTCCTAGAATTTCTCAAAACTCGATTAACGAGCTTTCTTTATATCTTAAGTTTCCGTGTGAGTATAAGAAGGGATGTTTCTGATTTAATCAACAATGGCAAAACAAGTCATCTCCATGCCGATTTCAACGGTTGCCTTGGAAGAATAGTTTAGTGAAGTTGGAAATGTCCAACCAATTATAAAATGAGAATGAGTGTGCAATCTCTTGAGACGCTCGTGTGTATCCACGATTGGTTGAAGGTCCGCCGGTGAATTCAATAACTAAACATACCACCATGACGGGAACGACAACTGGCCAAGGAATAAGAAATTTGTAACGTGTTAATATTGTTGTCTACATTTCTATTTGGGAAAATGAAAACTAATAATCCGTCATTTTTAGTAGTTTACTTACAATAATCTCATTTGATCGTAATTAAGGAGTAATCCAACATTTGCACCTCATCTTCAATTCATTCGATGATCCCTGACCGATTGATGACCTGTTATTCCAAGTTTTTTCATTTTCTTTACAAATCATTAAACCATAAATCTTACCTTCTACAAATCTTCTCAAAATGGTCCCACATATGATTTTTTATTTTTTTATTACTAATAGTTTTCATTCCTTTTATGTATTTCTATTCGTTGTAGTCTCTTTTAAAAACATCTTTATTATTTATTTATTTATTTATTTATTTATTTTACAAATAGTTTTACATGTTTTTATATTTTTTTACTATATTTTTATAAATTAAACTATTTTTATTATTTTTTTTTATTATAATGTAAAATATGATTATCCTATTAAGTTGTGATAATGATAGAACAGGAAGATAGAGTGTACTTAAGTCCTATTCTGGAAAGATAAATAACATAGTCATAATTATGCATTTAGAGATTAGTTCAGTACTATTTATGGCTATTTTCCCAAAAATATATTATTGGTGGAATCAAGGTAAGAAAAGGAAAATAGAAATAAATAAGTGTCACTAAAAAGAAAGTAAAATAAAAAGTTAATACGGTGAGAAAAAGATATTTTATGACAAGGGAACTAATCCAAAAATATATATAAAAATGAAAATGAAATAATAAATGGAAAGAAGGAAAAGAAGAAGAAAATAGAGTACATAAACATGGGAAAAAATAAAAATAAGAATAAGAAAACGAAAAAAGAGAATAAAAGAGTCAAAATGATAAAAATATAAAGGGAAAATATTTAGGAAGTAAAAAGAAAAATTATTAGTGGAACCGCTTGGAAAAGATTTGTGAAAGGTGAGATTTATGGTTTAATGTTTTGCAAATAAGAGAAAATAATCTGAAATAGCATGTCATCAACTGGTCAGGTAGCGATGAAGAAGATGGAGTGCAAAGGTGAGAATTTGGAATTATTTCTGAATTATGATTATATACGACTATTGTAAAAAGATCGCTAAAATGTGAAATTATTAGTTTTCATTTCCGCTTTTTATTTTAACAATTGAATTTTTACACATTATTAATTATTTGTATTATGTACATTTCAAATTTCAAGTGTGTGCCTATTTTCCAAATTTAATGTGCAAAGCAATTTAATGTTCAAATAAACACACATTTCATTTTTAATGTTTTAGTTTTTTGCTTGTATTAATTTCATATTATTAAATTTTTAAATTATTAAATAACTATAAATTATAATAAATAAATAAAATGCCAGAACTGGTCCGGGACCGGGCCAGGGACTATCTGGTACCCGGGCCAGGACCTTCATACCCCAGCCCTTGCCTCAAGAAAGTCTTCCCATGAATGACCTAGGCACCGGGTCCATGCCTAAATGCCTAATCAATTATCACTCTCCCAGAGAAAACAAATCGTCTGGATTTATGGGGTGCGAGCTGAATTTCAGGGAAAGCGAATAAGACAAAAGTACTGCGTGTCCCGCCCTTTTTATTGGATTTAAGAGACCCACCAAAAGTACAAAGTGAAAACTGGAAAATACAAAGCACCACTTTTAATTACTACGTATCATTCAACAAGCATACCCCCCTCCTTAGTCCTTATCCTTTCAAGCACGCTAAATACTTGAAAGGAGTATATTCATTGCAAATATGCTCAAAAATTAGCGAGTAGGGAACAATTACTATCAATCTCCAAATGATCATCACCCATCATGCATAACTATGAGGAGCAAGGGCCACAATACTTCATTGTTTGTGTATAATTGTATCCCATTTGATCAAGAGAAGTTGTAAAGGCAGAAATTGTAGAACTGGTGAGACTTTCTTTGTATTATAATAATATAATAATCAGAATAATATTTGGGCGCGGCAGTTCAGAACCCTGGACACATTAGAATATCTACGGTAAGAAACTCTTAAGATTTTGACATCACCAGTTGGGAGAATTTTACAGGAACCGCAGAGAAAATTGTATACTATATAGGAACAGGTAGCCGATAGAGCGGGTCCATTTACATGCAGCGTAGTACACCAACCTTAACATAGAAACAACCAAATCATTCCTTACAAAGAAGAATACACTGCCACCAGCAATCAATCATAAATGGCTAGGGCGCCTTCTACCAGAATCTGTTCTCATCCTCTTCACGGGGTTTGCCCATGCAACTGAGTTGTTGCCACCTCCACCGCTCCCACTACCACCACCACGTGTTAATTGGGGTGGTTGGTGGTTAGACCACCCTTGCTGTTGTTGAGTGACCTGCGGCTGATTCGACCAGGATGTATCTTTCATCATCATCGCGACACCACCCGAGTTTTTTGTATTGCGGCTCACAACAGTGGGCAGCGGTGGCGGTGGCGATACAGGGTGGCCGCCACCTGACATGCTGCTCACCGTCTTCATTAAGGTTGACTTCTCTCTGTCTTTTCTCTTCTTTTTGCAAATTACAAGCTCCCCTGGATGGGTAAATGGGCGGCGATTGTCCACCGCTTCCCCCCTGCTGCTGCTGGTGCTAACAACACCAGGCTTTGGTTCCTTTTGAGACGTGTGACTTCTAGATTTTGAGTCTTCTTCAATAGCATGGAGAAGAGATCCACGTGTTGCTGGTTTATTATGAGTGGTGGGGGAGCTAGGATCAGGCTCAGAAGCAAAAGCTTCACTAAAAAGCCTGCCACGCTTGTTTTGGTTAAGCAGAATCTGTCTGGTTGAAGAACCTGAGACAGCAGGCACAGCTACCGATGGACCACCAGAGAAGGAGACAGAATTCCTTGCTTCTCGGAAATCTGTCTCAGGAAAAGACATTTTCAAAATGTCGAAGAAAAGATCGTTTACCTTCTTTGCTTCAAAACTCACCTACATCCACCATCATTACAAAATTGTGATCATTCATCCATTCATTTAGTAAGCAACAATACCAAAAACTATCATCATCATCATTACCCCAATGCCACAAAGGCTCCCACCTAAGGTGGGGTAAGTGGGGTCGGATGTACGCAGTCTTACCCCTGTACGAAAGCACAGAGAGACTGTTTCCGGATGACCTATAGTGAAAATTGCGTCGAAAATTGCATGGACTGACTGTTGAGTCATTTTGCTTTATTCCATCATATTCCCAAGCTAAAAAAATAGTGAGTCTTTGGCTCCATTGCACATGATGGAGGAAAAATAAGGAACTCGCAGCAAGACAACAAGTAGTAGTCATACATACCGCATTTGAGAATCCATAATACTGCACAGCATTTTTTAACATTAGTTGCACATCAGATACAAACTCTAGTACTCCACTGTACTCGGCCTCTTCAACACGCACACCAATTGTTTGTAAATCCAGAAGGTTATCGTCAGTCGAGTCAATGTCACCAGAATTTTCAATTCTTCTCCACAAATCAGTTAACAGAGGAATTATTTGATGGCCTTCCTTGGCTATTCTCCTTTGCAGAGAAATGACAACATTCTTGCACTGCAAACCCACACACACAACAAACCATCACATGGAAGGCCAGTAATAGTGCAACCAAAGGATTCCTTAAATCCTTGATCACACTCGCAAAGTTTACTAAAAATATTCTCTCAAGTTTCCAGATAAAATACACAAAATCTTAGCACAAATGCGCAAATAAGAAAAAGGGAAAATCGCACTTTTAGTCCCTAAAATAGTCAAGAAAATGAAATGTTAGACCCGTGTTACCAAGTTTGTAAATGTCATCCCTCAATTGTCCTAAATGTTGTAAATGTGGTCCTTTAAGGGGTGAAATATACTCTCGCCCACATTGTATATTTCACCTCCCAAAGGACCAAATTTACAGCATTTAGGACAATTGAGGGACGACATTTACAAACTTGGTAACACGGGTCTAACATTTCATTTTCGTGACTATTTCAGGGACTAAAAGTGCGATTTCCCCTAAAAAAACTTGCAAATATATCACTTTACAGAAAGCAAAAACATAAAACTAGAGATGCATTATGCAGAAACAGGACATTAATTTCTTCATACACAATACACAAATATAATACCCAAAAAACTTAATGTATTTAAGTTCAAATTGACAAAGAAGCCACAATAAGTTGAGAAAGCTTTTACCTTTATCTGGATGCCCTTGGACATCCTTGCGACTCCACAAGAAGCCCCACCACTAGCACTCATGGCTTTACTATCCCAGTTTTGCCTGATCTGCTCAGCGGATTCTTCCGGAGGAGCAGGCAAGACACTTGACCTTCCAGATTTCACTACACCCTGTACATTCACTAAAGGTGAACTTTTCCTTGAAGGTAAACTCCGTCTACCCTTATACAATGAATCAGTAGGATCGTCTTTTATAGGAGGAAAAGGATCTCCGTGAATCTTTTGTCCCCGGGCATCCCTAGTTTGTAGATCGTATTTACGATCGACTTGTGGCAAATGAGAAGACTTCCGAGTGAGGACTGTCAACTTCTCAATAGATTTTTCCTCCAGCCTCTCAGGAGCCTGCTTCGGTCGAAAGCGAATGCTACGCTTCCGTTTTATTTTGGGCTGCAAGACTTGTTCCTCTTCACCTTCATCACGACCTTGAGTCCAACTACCGGACAACTGGAGATCCATAGGGGAGTCTCCAGACGCTGCAATTTCTCCTTCCTCTAATTCATCTGTCTGGCATATAGAAAGTATATTAAGTCATCTACCATTAATTAATTAACAACTTGGGTGCATAAAATCATTGATAGAGAGAATAGGTATAAAGGACACATACCATCCTTTTTGCACGAGAAGTGGGCCTAGCATCTAGTGCGGAAAGGGACCCAAACTTCTGAGATGACAGAGATGGGGATACCTTTTGCCTCAATCTTTGGCTCTCGGGAGATGAGCCTGATGAACCAGTTAGTTCGGGTATATGATTCTTTCTAGTTTTTCCGGGAGCTGCTTGCTGATACTCGTATCCATCAGCAGAAACCTGATCATCTTCTTCTGAATGGTTTTTGTTTACTGGAGCCCCCCCAGCAATTTCATCATCATCTTCATCTCCAACTTCTCCTTCAGGTACTGCCGAATACCCATTTTGCTCCTCTGAGCTGCTAGCTTCAGATAAGTCACCATTCTCATCCATCTCTGTGTACACAGGAAACTTTTTCCCTCTTGGGCGCCCCCTCCCCTTTCTTTCGGACTCTGAGGCCGCCATCTCAGTGGACTCCACGCCAATTCCCCCGCTTGCAAAGATGTCCCTTGAGGGTTTTTTGGCCAAACTAGCAATAGCAGCATTCACTTCTTTACTGCTAGAACGAAGCCACTTAGGTACCTGATCATACCTAATCATTTCGTCTTCCCAATCAAATTCTTCGTCCATTTGATCAAACAGTTCTACTTCTTCTTCGCTCCTCGCAATCATACGGTTCACCTCCTGAAGAGAAGGAACATCATGAACAGTTTCTTGGTATCTCTCTTCATCATGTAGAAGTGTTTCCAAAGTTAACCGTCTCTCTTCATGAGTAGTCCTTTGGTCAAATCGACCAGCATTAATCACTTCATCAGCCATGTCAATTTTGTACTGTTGGATATTGTTTCGAATGAGACTCTCAATGGATCCCATGTATCGATCTGTACCAGCAAGATCATCATCAGAATCAACTGCACCTCCACTCCGGAATTCATCCTCCTTCTGATGGCTCGCCATTTTGTCAACCACTGCCTCCATGTAAAGGACCTTCACTTCTCTAGTCTGCCCTATACGGTGGGCTCTAGCAACTGCCTGCTCTTCATTTTTTGGGTTTGGGTCGGGATCATAAATGATGACTGTGTCAGCAGTTTGTAGATTTAAGCCACGCCCAGCAGCACGGATGCTGAGCAAGAAGATAAAGCAATCAGAATCTGGGCTATTAAAATCCACAATAGCTGATTCACGGTCATCTAAGCTAGTTGTCCCATCAATTCGTCTGTACACAAGTCGCCGCCACTGCAAGTGTTCCTCCAAAAGATCAAGCAGTTTGGTCATTGTGCTAAAGAGCAGTACCCTATGCCCTGTTCGTTGGAGTTTGATAAGGACCCTATCCAGAACCCAGAATTTACCACAAGATTTTATGAGAAAATCCTTTGAGACATTCAGGTATGGATAATTAAGCAAAGGATGATTGCAGACTTTGCGGAGCTCCATACACCGATTGTTTAAGATCTTATAATTTTTAGGTTGGTAAATTGTACTCTTTTGAGCCTTGCGCTTCTCATCTTCCGGATCAACTCTAATACTACCAGTGGACTTGATCCAGTCATAAACCGCACTCTGGAATGCTGACATTCTGCACTTTAAGACAACAGAAATCTGCAACAGCAATGGATATCACTTGTTAGACACTTCTCACATTATTTTATTTTGGAATCAAACCAATTCTATGCATGGGATACCTTAGGAGGAAGTGAGCCTTCAACGTCTTCAACACGCCGCCTGAGCATGAATGGCTCAAGAATTTGATGAAGTCTATGGATAATAATGACCTTCTTCTCAGTTTCAAGCCAGTCATCCTCAGCATTATGTGTGGGGCCTTCTTTTTGAAAGGGTTTAGAAAACCAATCGTGAAATGCTTTACGGTTATCAAAGACTTCTGGTAGCAAAAGATTTAACAGAGACCAGAGCTCTTTAAGATCATTCTGCATGAAAAATTGAAAAGAAACAAATATATATTGAATTAGGCAAGAAGTCGTTTTCTAACTGTTATGAGCATTGTGGGGAGATTAAAAGAAGAAGACGTAAAACTGTGGTAATTGGGAAAATAACACAGCTTCCCAAATCCATCCTAGGCAAGGAAGTGTCCATAAAAACTTGCTTTTCTGCAAAAGCACAACATAAACCGTGCTCATCTCTGGAACAACACAAGTTAGAGACCAGAATACGCAAAGTTCGAGAGCTCATTTTTTCCTGATTATTTTTTCCCTTTATTTATTCAGTTTCATTTTTTCACAATTCAAACTTCTAAAAAAATTGCAGAACACAGAACTACTAAATTCTACTGGGAAATAGCGCCCCTACGGGAGGAAAAGAATGAAACATTAACTAATGTACAAAAGGGTATACGGACAAACGTGGAACCTTGCACATATGAAGGTGTAGCCGACCTGTTGCTTGCTTCTGAGTTTAAATAGCTAGGAACAGAAGACGCAAAGTACGTTGCTTGAGAAAGAATGCGCCACTGGACCGAGGCACGAAAAAAACGGGGCAGACTCTGCTCTTTTTTTCCTTACATTCTGCCGGGAGAAAGATAAACAATAGGGTAACCGTAGAATCCAAGGTCTGATGGATATAGGTTTAACTAGTTTCAGCTACTAGATTTTGGGCAGAAAATAAAAATACAAAAAAGGGAACAGGGTGGAAACGGCTCTGATACCAAATTGTATGGGCGTGGTCAGTAGATGAAAAGAATAAGACATAAATGTAGGGTAATAGGAAAAATAACACAGCTACCCGTTGTCCTAGGCAAGGAAGCATCAGTCAGTTCCACATAGCACACAAGAAGAATTATTTGTCCAAAAGATAGATGATTTTATTATGAATATAGCAAACTAGCACTTAGTTCTAGTCCCAAGAGTCAGTATACCAGTAACCCTAATTCTAGTACAATACTTCTATTAGGAATATTAACTAAAACAGAGTATATATAGTTACATACTAATAGAAACTACAACTACTGATACCAATAGGGAACTAATACTAATACTTGAAAAGGAAACTAATAATAGTATAATAATAGGCTACTTTCGTCCACATCACAAACATGAGCATGAAAAGAATCCATCCATACTAGTTGATGTATTTTATTTTTGATAAACTTTAGGGGGTAATCGTACCCCTTCCAAATACTAGTGATTGTGGATGGCAGATTACGGGGTTGCCATAAACATGGGCATGGACTGCCATATTTAGCAAATTTCTATATGACAGCTGGTGAAAAAATCCTCCATGTGCTGCTTTTTAACAACACTACACCTTTCTATTAGCAAATTTCATTGATGAAATAACCCCATATGACAGTATCGTTTGCATATATGAGCATGAATAAGAACTAATCCATAGTAGGTATGATATTTTAGTTTTACAATACTTTGGGGGTAATAGCACCCCTTGAATGCTATAGAATGTTGATGGCAGCTTATGAAGTTGACCAAAATTTGGGTATGGACCACCATTCTAACAAACTTTATGTAACAGACCAACAACTGGCAAAAGAGACTCTATTTAACAACTCTGACCCTGCCTATTACTCCGTAGTAAATTTCCAATATGACGTAACATGGTTTGTTTTTGCAGCATGTTTTGTTAACTGATGAGTCCAACATAGGGATCATTTCATCATTTCATTTTCATTTACCCCAGTGCCGCAAAGGCTCCCACCTACGGTGGGGTAAGGGGGTCAGATGTACGCAGTTTTACCCCTATACTAAAGCACAGAGAGACTGTTTCCGGATGACCCATAGTGAAAATCGCGCCCAAAATTGCATGGACTGACTGCTGCTTCATAACAAAGAAGCTCAAACAGTTTAGTGAGCCATTTTGCTTTATTCCATCATATTCTCAAGCCAAAAAATAATGAATCTTTGGCTCCATTGCAAATGATGGAAAAGAGTCTCACACTAGTGGTTGTCATAGTGACCAAATCAGCCACGCAACGGCGCCAGCTGGCTGCAGCAAGCCGAGGGTTAATAGTAGCTCAAGTACATGACAACTCATGCAGTGGTGCATGTGATGCATCCCTAGCACCTGACACGACATAGGGAACTGGCATTTGGCCCTATAAATACCCCTTCAGACTTGAAGAAGAGGATCCCCTGATCTTTCCCTCCAGACAAAGAGTGTGCGCGGCCAGCTCCGTATATAAAATTAAAATTACTGCTTACCTACTACATTCAGTTCTAGTCTCCTAGGGCCAGCACTCAACATCATACTAAAGACTGGACCATCTGTGTATTGTGCACAACACTCGACTATCCGTAGTTACATTATCCCTTTCCTGGCCATCTTGATTTGGCTAGCTTTATCCAGTCTGACTGGCACGATAGGCTGGAGCCCCAATTACTTAACACCGCTAAGATCAGTGTTGCATTGGTGTAAACTAGAAATTTTGGAGTAGTTCATAACGAGTAAATCTGCAAGTGACACTGGGAATAGCACCTTTGAATATCACATAATGGAGATTTAATTATTCCAGTGCAAGCACATTCATCATCAGGATGGAATTCTGGTGGTAGATTTGGGGTGTTAGAATACTTAAGATCTTAAGTGAATTTATAATAGACTAAACAAGACATTGAAGTGTAGAAAATTCATGAGCACAAGGTACTGGAAAGAAAAGCGGGACAAAGATATTGGTAAATGAGTAAATGACCTCACAGATATCTCTCTGTTCAGGAAGCTAACCCTACTAATTTGAGACTAAGGATGTTTTTACTTGGACTGTAATCTGTCCCAGACCAGACCAGACCAGACTTGGATAGTTATAAAAATACAAAGAAACCAGACATGACCAGACCAGACCAGTTCAGACCAGACCAGCAAATTACAGTCCAAGTAAAAACATCCTAAGAATCTTTTTTGGTGCTATACTGGTGGTGGGGGACTTATCCAGTTATCTTTGAACAATGATGTCAGTTTAATCATATCTGCTAAATTGTTTTGTATCCCCGTTAGATATTTGGTATGTGCTAAATCCAAGGGCAAGTTTAATTACCCTCCAAAAAGAGTGTAATTAAAAACAGAAATTTTTTAATCAACCTCCAATTTTGAGGGTGAAAAGGGACAGTCTAAAATAGAAAATATAGAAACTTGTTTATTTTATATTTTGCCCTTCATGAAGAACTCCAATATCAGTATAATCTTAGTATGTAATTTAAAAACATTGTAAATAACTAATGGTATTAACTAAAAAAATATCAAGCACCCATTCAAGATAAGATGTGAGAGCCGTGGTTGCAATAATTTGGTCATGTGTGTAGAAAACAAAGTGATGCACCTAGACGAATTGAGAGGTGGGGAGTGAAGGGAGGAGGGGACAACCACGACGTGGATTAGAATGGTCAAGAGTGATATGATACTATATCGGTTAAATGTGAGTATGACTTCCGAGAGGGCATAGTGGAAGGGATAGCATACATGCGGAGGATTGATATTTTATTGTTTTTCTCCCTCTTTTTCTATCTAGCATACATTGTTGTTGTTGTTGTTATAAATGTTGTTGAGGTTATTCTTATTCTTATTCTGTTGAACTAATGGGTGCAATAATTGTCATATATAATGTGTGGCACGTTCAAAAAATCAAAATCCTAGATGGAAAAGGGACAAAGAAAGAGGAGTATAATAATATACTTGGTTCCCAATTAGTTTGTACTATTAGGATGTTTTTACGTGGACTGAAATTTGTTTGGTCTCTGTGTATTATATAACTATGGAAGTCTGATCTGGTCTATTTAAGTCTATTTAAGTCAGGTTTGGGACTGAAAACAGTCCAAGTAAAAACATCCTTACTACTAATAGATGATCTATTGAATTGCTTTAAAGCAGTACTCTGTATAATATATTGATAACATTTTGATAGAAAGAGAAAACTATTCCCTTTGCGCTTGAAGCAAAGCTATGATACCTTGCTTTGGTGCATTTTTCACTTTAAAACATTGCTTAAGTGGCATCTGTGAAAAACTAATACTCTTCAACTTAATAAACTAAATCCATGGTTGTCATGGTGGCAAGGCGAGGTGAGGCGCCAGCCGACCTCCTTATCGCCTAGGCGACAACTAGACGACATGTCGCGCCATATATAATATTTAAATATGATGGCAATTTCATCTAAAGTAAGTATTAAGAACATTTAAACTACAAATTTTAAATATCATTAAGAACCACATCTGACAAGTTAAATTCTTATTTAATATAAGTATTCAATATAATTATATGAATGATGAAATATATTTTTTTCAGCTCCTTAAAATATAACTGTTAAAATAGAATTATACTTTGTACAAAAAACAAAAGATGGAAAGATGTAGTCCAACTGTCCACCTGAGTCAACTGACCAACAAAAAAAAGAGAAAAAAAAAAGAGAACAGGAACGGCTTAGTGACAACAAGATATAACGATTGGACACAGCAGCAAAAGAGAACAGTCCAGACTTTGAACTAAAAATACAGATGAAAGAGCGGCGGCAACAAGCAACGGCGGCCTGCATCAGCGACTTAAGTTGAGTCAACCGAGCATGGTGTGGCTACCCCCATTGCCATGCCACCTAGGCGACGTCGTGACAACCATGACTAAGTCCAGGTAGTAAATCTAAAAATCAACTCCTCAACGAATTACAAACCTGTAAAGGGGTACCAGTGAGAAGTAAACGCCTCTGACACTTATATCTGTCAAGATCACGAGCAAGAACAGATTCCCTGTCCTTCATACGCTGAGCTTCATCAATAACAATGTACTTCCAATCAACTTTTGAAAGCTTTGAACGATCAAACATGATGAACTCATAGGTCGTCACAAGTACATTGAACTTCATGGCACAAACTTCCTACAGAAAGATGACACATAAAGAACTTACAGTGAAATGTCAACACCACATCAAACTTACATCTCACAAAGAAATAAAGGACTCTAACCTGAGAAAATAACCTTGCCCTTTGGTCCTTTCCACCAACATAGTAAATGCAGGATACAGATGGAAGCCAGTGGTGAAGCTCACTCTGGAAAATTGAATAAAGTTGGTTATGTCTTCCAAACAATTAAAAAGAGAAGAGAGAAAACACAACTAAATCTGTGCAACCTTCCAGTTAACCAGGACAGCATTGGGAACAATAATAAGATGCGGACCGTAGTTTCCCTTGAACTCCATCAAATAAGCAATTAATGCCATGACCTTCAGAAAAAGGAAAACAATGACACAAGCCACAGTTACTAATTGTTGAGTGAATAATCAATACTTATAAAAGCCACAATAGTTGTAAACCTGAACAGTCTTTCCAAGGCCCATCTCATCTGCCAAAATTCCATTTAATTTGTTATTATACAATGAGAGCATCCACTGCAAACCAACCTATAATTGAAGAAAGCATTTAACGATCAACACTTGATAGAACTTGAGAATAGACCCATAAAGCAAACATCAAAATTTATAACTTTCACATGTGAGGGTTAAAATCATACAATCTGATAGTCTCGTAGTGTTCCAGCCCTGAGCATTGAAGGCTGCCTTAAAACCCTTTCATTAACAGCATGAGCAAGAGTATAATACCTGGTACCGGCAAAAGGCTCAGATTATTTCTACCAAAAATTGACAATCTACAGCACAATAAACATATTTAAAGCACCCAAAAAACATGAAAATGGAACAATCATAAGAATATACAATTTGCAGAATGCAGCATCAGACTTCCAGGCAAAAAAAAAAATACATGAATTCTCCATTCAATCACATAAAGCTATGCTTCTGTGTAATATGCGAAATAGAAACATAATTATCATCATCCATCATGATTGCTAAAAATGCCTAGTAAGTAGTAACATTAAAAAAGAATGACTAGACGGATGTACTTATTAACAGATGAGCCGATCTTTGGTGCATTCATTTCAGAGAAACGATTCCTTATCATCACTTCCTCTCGAGCACAAGAGGCAGCAGCTCTTACTTCTTCTTCAGATAGACCCTATCAAACATTTGAAGTGTAAAATAAACCAAAAATAGGTAAATAAAAGGAGAAAAGAGGATATTATGTTTTAGACTAGAATGAAAGATTAAGTATGTAACAGTATTTCAAGGGCATTCTCACTTATGAGGTCTTAGACTCGTGTCTCCGACGGTAGTCTGTCTACTTAGGTACATAAAAAATGAAGAAATGGAAATAAAGGATGTCTTCACAAAGGCATTTGTCATATGTTTGCACTTAATCGGTTTTTAGATAATGAAGATAACATTTATTAGGTCCTATTTGCACACCTATGCATACTCGAGGAATAGAGACCAACCCTTTGTACAACCACCTTAGTAGAGTTTAAATAGATTAAACAGAAAACAAATAAAACATGAGCATATTGAATGTGAGCATACCTGAGCTTTTGCTGCTGCTGCGGCCGAACTTGCCGCCTCCTCAATCTCCTGCTGATTTTTGGCAGCTGTTATCTTACTTCCTAGCTTGTGAAGATACTCTTCTGTCTGAGATAGAAAGGATGAGAGAACAGCATATCTCTCCCCTGCATCACCAGGAATGCAACTCTGTTGTTCTAATAACATCTCTCTATATCTATCCACATCATTATTCTTCAAGGCCTCCATCCTCTTATTGCGATCATCGTCCTTTTTCTTTGAGAACTCCCTCAACATCCTTTCATGATATTTAGCAACGCCCCTATTTCGGGCAGTTCGAGCATCACGGATAGCCCAATGAGCCTCAAGAAGTTTTTTGCGCCACTGGAAGACAGACTTCAACTGTTTTTCTCTTATGGATTTCTGAGAGGCCTGTACTTGCCTAGCAAGATCCTGGCGCTGACGTTCACATAGCCGAATGAATTTTCTATACGGTCTGTCCGGCATTGCCATTATTTCTTGCTGCTGTTGCTCAATCTCATTTCTTAAACGTGCCTGCACATCAGCAAGCTTCAGTTTCTTTTCTTCTATTTGCAACTGTATAACAAGATCTGGTCGAATCCTCTTCCTCTCTGTATTAAGAGATAGAATCTCGCCAAGCTTCTTTATGTTTTCTTCCCTTTTTCTTTTAAAAACTTCAATGCCTTCTTCAGCTATAAGATCCTTGATCTCATACCCCAGTATCAAATTATTACTATTTGGTGCCATCATGGTTGAACCAAAAGCGTCGTTTTTCCGCGTGAAGACAGGGAAATCAAACAATGGACCATGATACTTACGTACTGCACCAGCATCTTTGGGCTGAGTCCCAGGGCTTGTTTGTGCGGGTTTCTTTACTTGCATGGTATCACAAACATTCGCTTCAGGGGGAACTGCTTTCCCCTTTCCCGTTGAAATGTCACTTTTGTGAGAGTTATTCTCAATGTTGTGTTCAACATCTTGGTCTGATTTACCAGAATGTCCTGTTGTTTGCTGCTCTTCTTTTGCTGCAGGGAACACTGACGTGATCTCTTTTTCCACATTTGTCTGTGTTTGCACATCAACAGTTGCAGCACTTACTTGCACCTCTCCAGAAACTTCCTCCTTTGAAGTATTTTGTCCTTCTGTAGGAATCGTGAGCAGAGTCCCCTTCTCAGGGTGTTCATTGATTCTTACAGGGTCTTCTGTACTTTTCGCAGATCTGTCTTGATTGGGTGGTGGGGCTTTAGGGGGGAAAACCTGTGTTTGTGAATCCAGGGAAGGTGGAACAATTGCTTGGAGCAACTCGCGCGGCAAAGTCCCATCTCCTTTCTGTAAGCAAGTAAACAAGAAGAATGCATTCATGAACAAGAACTCACCTTGCAGTTAAAACGATGATAAAACTGTTCGCATGCAAACCTTTATTCGCCTAAATGCAAGTATTTGAGCCTTAAGAACATGCAGCTGCTGTTTAGAAAATCCCAAATGTGGTTGTTGAAGCTGGGGAGGCATGGTTCCACTATGAGGTGGAGGGGGGTTCGTGAAGTTTCCATCCTGAGATGCAGATTGCAATGGAGGTCGGCTCAGGCTGCTCAGCTGCTTGATTTGCTGAATCTGCAGAGTTTCTGGAGCACTTGAGGCAGCTTTAGCAGTAAAAGTATTCTCCCTTCCTTGCATAGTGTTAGGAGATGTCTGTAAGTGATAAGGACTCAATCCATTGGCAGCCATCATATGTTGCCTGGGAAGTAAATGGTTCTCTCTGCTATGGACAGGAAACTGTTGCATGGGTATGTTATTAGAATGATTAACTGAAGCTGAACACTGTGCCGGTCCAAGAGGACCATCACTTGTAACAGTCTGTTTATTTTTAGCAGAAGTCGATTGCCCAGACGCTTCACTGGAGGAGTTACCATGGGGAGAGCTATCATTTGCAACTCTAGGTGAATTAACCTGCTGTTTTGGAACATGAACAGATGGAGACTTTGGAGGCATATTGCTATCATTGGGTTTTTGTTGTGAAATCATTCTGGACTGCATTAATGGAATGAGCTGGGCCATAAGGCTTGCATTGGCAGGATTTGACAGATCGATGTTCCGTTCAAAGGCCAAAGCTTGTAGGGCATGCATTTGTGCAGCCATCAGAGGGTTATTTGAGATATTCTGAATGGCCTGTTGATTCTGCTGTGCCTGTAAATGCTTTAAAGCCACTGCTTGTCCGAGCAATGTGGACTGACTAGGCAGCTTATGCTCAGTCCTCTGATCAGTCATAGATGACGGATGACCATGATCTGTCAGCTTTTCAGGTGAAAATAGATCAGATGGCATCTTGGACGATGACGCCTGTGACTGATTTGTTGTTGCCTGCATAGATACATGATCCTGGACTTTTATATTTCCAGTCTTACTTTCTTCGTCCTTCATTGGAGTGCCAAAAAATCCCATCTTTGTTTGCTGTTGAGATTGCGACCCAATAGCTGATTTCTGTTGGGCAGTCTGAAAAGCATACTGCATGTAAGCCTGTTGGATAGGATTTAACATTTGTTGTTCATAGCCACACCTGTTTTGACCCTCATTTCGTATATTGGAGGAATTGTGCTGCTGTCCTAAATCAATATACTTCCTTGACTGCTGAGGCAGCTGCATGGAGCTAGAAGGTCCACCAGAAAAACTGTTCACTCCTAAAAACCCACGCACACTCCCAGACTGATAGGCTAAATTAGGGTCACTTTCTTCGGGTCTTCTAAGGAACTGTTGCTGCAATAACTGCATCAAAAGTTTAAAAGTGATTAGCAAAGAAAGTTAATGGGCGTAATTATTTCCAATAGGGGTTTAGAATAAAAATGATGCATTTGGTATTTTGTTTTCTCAAGTAAAGTGTACAGTGGTCATTTGCAAAAAGTAATTATGGGTAATATTGTCCTTTCACTACAATAGTTTACTTGCCACATAGAAGGAAAAGTATCACCAGATAAAAGTCATAGTTCAAAGTTTCAGCTGGACTACAACAATTGAAAATTTGAATTTCCTATTAAACTATGAAGACATTGACTAAATTGGGCATGTGAATGCTATAACAGGTCATTGATACTAATCAAGCAAAGCATGTGACTATCATTTAAGAAGTAGATACATCTAAAGTTCAACAGAAGTTTTTCACCCAGTTTACTTTAACAAGAAGGCCAGATCTATCAAGGAATTTGGGAACAAGCTCCGTAGTCAAACCTAAAGACTTCAGACTTAAGATTTAGCTAACACTACGCCATTTGAGGTAACATACATTAGGACACAAGCCCATTTCTTAAAATACTCTTCTTTCGTGAAGATGAAAATCACAAGTGCACACGTCTCTATCCAGCTCAAGTTTATGAAAAAAATCACACCCCTAAGATTTGAAACAATTTATATAAAGCTACAAGCCTACAACTTTCCATAGAAAAGATGCCCAATTCTTCACATGCAATACTAGAACCTAGATCAACTCATGATCTGCATTAGCAATCTGACGACACAAGTCACTCGCCCATTTGAGAAAACTTGAATATTTCCAGCAATTTGCAGAAATTACGAACAAATACTAGTATTCTATTAAATCCCGCGCTCTCATTCAAAACACTCGGCGAAAGGGGGGTGTCATCAAAAATGTGTGAGCTTAAAACCCTAACCTGTCTTTGTTGTTGCTGCAGCTGCTGGTCCAGGTGAGAAGCCGAAGAGGATGATGACGGAGAGGCAGAGGCAGAGGCTGCAGTGCCCCGCCCATGCCCGGCGGCGGCACCACCGCCTTGCTGTGCCCCACCCCCCGATTGCATGCAAAAAAATGGAATTCAATTTCTTTAAAGCGATAGGGGACTAAAAATTCACGGCACCAGAAAATCAACAAAGATTTGTATTTTGTTTGGGAAAAATTCAGAGCGGAAATGGTGGGGCCAATTGGGAGATCAGCCGGCGATAACCGCGACTCGCCGGGAAAATTGTCACTGAATTTTCAAGAATTGTGCATTTTATCAGTCAAACCCTAGGCTGTTATTTTTTGGGCGAGTGCGTGTAAACAGTTTTAGCATTTTTTTCTCTCTCTCTATAAGGCTCAGATATTCCGTGATGTACATGACTTTTTTGTTGTTGTCTTTTTCCGTCAACTACTTAGGTTGAGTAAGATATGATGCTCTAAAGTCTAATATGGATTATGGAGTATTAGTTTATTAGAAGGGAAATTTATGATTACCCCTAAATTAATGTTGTAATCTTCCCCTTCTATCAACATTTTCATCAAATGCCTATTTCTTTGACTAAAATACTCTTGTTTAGAGAGTATTTGTTAAATCCTCTCATCTAGGTATTTTTTTCAAATTAGGGAGTCTGGTCCGGTCCAGTCTAGTATTTTGCCGAACTCGTACTCATATAGTGACTATTGAAACCGTTTGGTTCGATCTTAGAGCTAAACCCGTTCAGTACAGTTCTATTTTCAAACGGGATGGTACCATATCATACTAATACCAAACAATGTCACTTTCCCAAGTGCTTAAGTGGAAGTTAAAGTTTAGTCATCCTATAAAAATCCACATAATTTATCAATTTTCATACTCCGTATTACACAATTACGTAGTATTAAATTTCAGATAAACTATAGTAGTACAAATTTTAACCGGTCATGACATTGTTTAGAACCGGTACGGTCTGGTCCGCGACAAAAAAAAATGAGATCCCTTTCAAGTTCCGTTTTTCAGTCCGGTACCATATCAGTCTGGTTTGACACCATGCTGGTTCGGTATTTTTGCCCACTCCTACTTCAAATAGACAGCCGAGCAAATTTTCCTTAGCTTTAATGTATGAATGGGACTGCGACTGGGAATTGAAATTGGAGCAGAAAAGAAGAAAAACGGAAAGGCATAGAGCACTTTCAAGGGTGCCGTAATGATGCTTGGGAAAACATTAAATTTTTGCTTGAATACTTTTGGAGTAAACTTGTGAAACTTTCAGTTGCTCTTATTTTATACCATTCCTTAGTTTAGTTTAATAGATAAGGACATTTTTGGGAATTCTGCTTAAAATTAATGGTCCAAGCAACTTAAAATTAATAAAAGGGGATACTCTAACTTTAATAAAAGCTTAGGGTAAATGATTCAGTTCTAAAAGTATAAGGTTGATTTAATAATTATCACCTAACCTCAAGGGGGTAATAATTATTTTCCCTTATTAGAATGTCTTCCCGATTGAAGTTTTAGCTTAAATTTGGTTTGAGTAAATTAGATTTAGTGAATAAGATATTCAAAAAAATTCATCAAAAAATTCCATCGGGAACTGCCCCAAATGGCGACGGTCGGACAAAGCCTCCTATATAAGGGCTTATTTGACCTTTTTATGTAAGTTCGAGGGCTCAACTGACCCTTTTCTCTATTTTATTTAGGGAAAGTTCACGAAATAGGACTAAAAAAGTTTGAAAATTTCAAATAAGACTGTCTTGTTTTTATTCTCAAAATAGGAGTAATTACTGCTAAGTTTGCAAAATACCGCCATGTTTGAAGTCTTGTACTGCGAAAACATGACAGTAGTTAGTTCTATTTTGGGAATAAAAACATGACAATCCTCTTTATTTTATACTATCTCTGTTCATTGACATTGAGATATGAGGGTGTGACACAGATATAAAAAAATTGAGTTTATGTGATTGATATTAAATTGATAAAGTAAGAATAAAAAAATTGATTTAGAGTCACATCAACTTTATCAAATTTGATATGGGACAGTGTTAGTGGAATTTCTCGAAAATGATATGGGACGATCTCAACAAGACAGAGGAAATAATAAAATAAGAAAAAAAATCATTAATATTACTCTTGGGAGAGTGACGGACAAAAATATGACCTGGTAATATTTAGTGTCTAAATGTATTCGAAGTTACTATGATATAGTGACTACGATAAAAACTTTGAATGCAATAGTAGTCACTAAAAGTTATTAAGACACATTTTAGTCTCTCACTTTTTTCTTAGTACGTAGTAATATTTTAGGGAAAAAAACTCATAAAATGATGGGGTAATTAATTTAAATATCCCAAACTTTGAAGGGTGTGTGATAAGTACTTCAAACTTGCACATGTAATATATATACTGCAAACTTTATATAAATAAATAAATATATATATATATATATAAACACCATGATCATATATTTTTTCACAAATATATTTTTATGGTATTAAATACATAATTTAAAATACACAAAACATTTATAAGAATGCAATTACAATTAAATTGTGTCGGATGTAATATTATTTATTTTACAAGTGAATTTTTTTAAAAATGTTAACTCCATTCTAATAAAGCGTAGAGAATTTTAATTCGTGATATTATTTTAATAAATTTTTATTTTTAACTGATATGATCGTTTGCGGTGGTTTGGGAATGCGTGTAGAAGACCGAGCGATGCACCTGTCAGACGACTTGGAGGAGGGGGAAGAGACAAGGAGGAGAGGGATGGGAAGACCCAAACGTACTTGGATTAGAGGAATCATAACTGATATGATCTTCTTGAGTTGTATGAGAGTATGACTTTGCAGAGGGCAGAGTGGAGGGCGCACATTCGTGTGGATGATTGATCTCTTTTCTTTTTTTCCTCTCTCCTTTTTCTTTTATCGCTTATCTTCTTTGTCTTTTTATGTTCTTATGTTATTTTTACATTTTAACTTCTTTATGCTCTTTTATCTTTTAATCGTTTTTCTTTCTTATATTCTTATGTTATTGTTATCTTATATTTATTTATCTTTATCTTATTTGTTTTATCCCTTTTTTCTTCTTGTCTGTCTTCTCTTTTTTGCATCGATATCATGGGTCGATTCATGTTAGTCGTCCCCAAAATCTTTTGGGATTAAGGCTTGGATGTTGTTGTTGTAAAAAACGCAATCATTGTGCGAAAATAACTTTTTATATAAAGTTCAAATTATATATAAATATTACATAGGCAACTTTGATACTTATTTCACACCTCATTAAGGTTTGGCGTATTTAAATTATTTTACCCTAAAATAATTTAAAGAAAGAATGCACTATTAATTATGATACTTCGTATTATACAAATAATTATTTCATATTGACATACTACCTCTAAGTATGACATATTCTCTTTAAGTATAATTAATAAACAAATCAACATGCGGCTTTGATAATTAATATATTTAATTTTCCATTAGTAAGAAAATTAAGAAAAATGAGTTTTGAAAGGTTACGACGGAATAAATTAAAAAACAAATCAAAACAAAAAATAGTAAATTAATAGATTAAAAAGTCAATGAACAACATCTGAATAATGTAAAATTCTAACATGTTGCACTTATTTAAAAATAAGTGTAACGTATAACAATAATTACAATATGAATTTATTTTCTCACCTAGAATTCAGTCATTCAATTTATCAAAAATATACTGGATAATCAAATAACGCTTTTTAGATAATTAAGTATCATACCATAGTTACAATGATTAGATTTGATGTTAAAAAGTTGCTCCGTGTGATATTTATTCTATATATGAATAGTTGAATTGGGGTATGAACTGAATCAGTTATTTTTATGGTATACGCAGTATATTATTACTTCCTTCAATCCAAAAACAAGTTCACACTTGCCTTTTTTGGTCTCTCATGTAAAAAAATAAAGGTATCACTTATATTGTTGTCAAGTTTTAATATAAAATGACCTTTGTACACTGTTATTACATTCACCCTTCTTCCATCTATTATGCCCTTTGTTGAGTTTAATCCAACACGATATAATAAATATATGTATAGATGTGTATGAGCAAGCTCAGTTTTTACGTGGAAATCCGAAAGGGAGAAAACCACGAGACTTTTTAGGCTAATGTCCAAGCCCTCTCTTTCTCATTAGGACTCTCCTCACCATTGCATAGTACATTTTGAGCTCCCATTAATGGAGTCTTACAAGCTAGCTAATATATTCTAGAGAGAAGGAGGAGAAGTGGGGAAGAAGAGACCAACCCCTAACATGGAGGGAAAGCCTTCTATTTATAGGGAAAAAGGAGGTAGGGAATAAGTCTACCCTAATGGGCCAAGTAAGCCCAAAATGGGCCCAAAGGGCCGAAACATGCCTAATAGGCTGAAATGGACCTTGTCATTCGGGCTCCATGCTGGGCGATGCCTTGGGCTCCTGAACAGTAACGGACCGGGATAATATACCTCAACACAAGTCCCTCAGTTTCTTGAGTAGTGAGCGTGCGAATCCACTCGAGAAAGTATACTCTTGCCTACGCTCTTCCTCTGCCTTCTTTGCACATGGCCTCAGCTTTACAATGCATTCGCCTAGGTGCGAGGGATTAGGGCGTTCGGCCCACGGATGCCCGGCCCGACTTCCTTTGGACGGTCGTCCCTAGAAGCTCGGCCTAGATGTGTCTTTGCTTTTGATGAACGACCCCGGTTGCAGCTCTCGGAGTCGTCATTCAGCGACAATCCTCGGCTTATTCCTATAGACGTTCAACCTCCAGATGCTGGGTTGGGTCTCCTTGGACGTTCGGCCCCTTGATGGCCAGCCCGCTCGAACTCTAGTTGTTGGGGCTCTAGAATTTTCCTTCTGGATGCTCGGCCCGACATGTATAGGAAGATTAGTCCCTAGAAACCCGACCCGACTTTCTTTGGACGTTCGTCCTTAGAAGCTCGGTCTAGATATGTCTTTGCTTTTGATGCACGACCCCGGTTGCAGCTCTCGGAGCCGTCATACAGCGACAATCCGCGGCTTATTCCTAGAGACGTTCGACCTCCGAATGCTAGGTTGGGTCTCCTTGGGACATTTCTACCTAAAATGCTCAACCTGGGCATGCTCGGTCTCAGGATGTGCTGCACGTCTCAATGCCCTCGTCCTCCGGGGTGGAGAAGCTCGTCTCCCGACCCTCGGCCTCTGGGTGGAGAAACTCGTCTTCGGGCCCTCAACCTTTGGATGCTAGATGGTCGTCTCCGACCCTCGGCCTTTAGGGTGGAGATGCTCGTCTCCAAGCCATTGGCCTCTGATGATCTTCTTTAGGTCCTCGGCCTCTGGGTGGAGGATGCTCGTCTCCGAGCCCTTTGGCTTCTGTGGTGGAGATGCTCGTCTTCATGCCCTCGGATTTTTGGGGTGGAGATACTCGTCTC